AGATTTCAGATTTTTTAACCATTCTAGGTTCACACGAGCTTTATGAGACCTAGGCCGGTGTCAAGTTTGCACTTTTGTTTTCATCATATACATTATAGATCAAAATTAAACCTGTGTAAGCATGTTTTTTTTGACATTTTTATACTAACCTAACTTTTATTAGGAAATTATTTATTTTTAAATTATAAGCAATATTCTGTTATTAATTATTAAAGTTCCTTGTATTTACCAATCAATATGTATAAATGTATACACTTTTGATTAATATAAACCTAGTTTTGCTTTCTTCTCTAGCTGTTAGCCCAAAGTTTGCTAGATCTGAATATTATTCGCTTACTTGTATTTAAATATAACACTATAATTAAGAGCTTAAAAAAATTAAATGTAAAAGCATCAACAACTTATGTCGTATGCTGTTATTATCGGGAATTCAATATAGTAATCCATTAAATCTTCATTTAAGAAGATCAGAAGACTGAATCAGAATATTATAAAATTTGTCAAATAAATTTCAAAGTCCTAACAGTAGCTGAATCCAATATTTAAAGGCAATATAGCAGTAGAAGTTGATTCAAGGCATGAACCAGAAGTGAACCTAGTCAATTTATATGTTAACTATTTTTATTAAAAATAATTTTATTTGGAATTCTATAGTTAACATATGCAATGAAAGCAACACAATATGGAGCAGAAAAACATTAATCTGATCTATTAATCTATTAAAATTAAAAACACTGGTCTGAACTGCGGCTAATCGTACAAAGTCTGGCATGCTATCTATCCTGCTAGATTCGCGAGATGTTTACGCTCTTTGCTCTTTAGTTCTTGATCTTATTTTATAGTTATCAGAAATCGAGTCCAGTGCTCTTTAGTGCTTGACCTAATTTTATAATTATCAGGAATTGAGTCCAGTTCCCTTATTAGACATTCATTAAATTTAGTAGATCAGTAGTTTAGAGTCAAAGAGTAATATGAGATTTATCATTACTCTAAGACTGTGTCTTAAATAGTTAGAAAAAGTTCGGTCAGGTACAGCAGACAAAAGTCTCGGTTACCATTGATCTAATAAAAGAATAGAAAGAATAATTATCGGTGAAATGTTTAAACCAAAAATGTGAATTACACAATACATTTTCTACATACATGCAAACGTATTTTACTTTAGTATTTTTTTTATTTAATGAAAAAAAAAACACTACAAATTTTTGATGTGCAATTTTTTAAAAACAAAATTTTGAAATTAACAATTTTTTTAATATTGAGTTCAACACTCTACACTAAAACAAATTTTTTATCAATTTTAATAATATATATAAAATGTTTTTGAATTGTTTTTGTGTGCAAGTGTTTATTTCTAAATGCAATCGTCAATTAAGTTATACCTATCATCTATATCAATATATAATTATATTTAAATAATATTAGTAATATACAATAATGTTAAATACAAATTTTTAATATGCAATATATTTTGATTTTGTTTTTGTCTAAGATATATGGCATTTATTTGTATTTCATTTACGATTTTCTCTTCTCTTCCATGTATGAAAAAAAGATATTTAATCTATGGTATATAATACCACATATATATATATAAATAAACACATTTTTTTTTAAGAAAGCAACCAAAGGAATTTTTTGCATAAATGATATAAAAAAATATTTTTGAAACTTGTTTTGTAATTTTTTGTAATATCTTGACATTGCAATCTTTTTAAATTGTATTTATTTAATATTTTTTGATACATATTTTTTGGGAACATTTACCCTTTTGTAAACATTTTTAAGCACATTGTCAAAATATAAGAAATATATATAGATATTATTAAAAGAAATTTTTGTCTAAGCAAACCGAATTTTCTTTGAATGCTTATATGTTGAATTTATAATATTTATATATTTAAAAAATTTTTATTAATATTTTTATATTTAATATTGCGTGCAACGAGTTTTATTTTGGTTTTGTTATCTTTCTTTATTTTAATTAAAAGCTCAAAAGAAATTTTTAAAATTCTATGTTAATATATTTAATTGTTCACACTTCTTCGGCTCTGCACTACAAATTGAAGTTATCCATCAAGCAAATATTTTTCAATTTGCACTGAAACTCGAGGCTTCAAAAACTGCGATGCATACTATTCCCCACGTAATGGCCATAGATCAAAAGTATGATCACAAACAGAAAGTTCATATACCAATTCCTTAAAGTTGCTTATTTGTTTAAGTGTGCCTGTTGTCTTTCTTCTCACATCCTATAAACGATACATATGTATATATAATATTAAATTTATCGTGTCTGATATTATAGTGTATTCTCAAAATAAATAACTCATCAACTTTACAATTAATAATCGCAAGAAATTGCTAATTGGATCGCCAATCTGTTTCTCATAAGACATACATACATTGTTTCAAAGAAAACTATTTACTTCCCTCTGTTTGCATCTTTTTGTCGTTGCAAATATCTTATTTGTTTGTCAGTTATCAGATTAGGTTAAGTTATACCGGTGATCCCTAGTAGATCCACTTAGGCCTATTGGCCCATTTTGTTACCGCATATGTTGGAAAAACTCAGAGTTTTAAACACCCTAGAAGCTTTAGCGAAGCATATATTGCTATTTTGTGTCAGGTCCTATAACTGGTCTAGAACCTCAAGAAAGGGGGCAAAGACATAGTAGGTTAGAGACATCCTTGTCAGTTATTAGAAAATCATAAAAAAATAGTTATTCTCAAACAATAATTGCGAATGTTCACCTTTGTATATTAAAGCAAAACACAAGATAAAGGACCGCAGTACTCCATTTAAAGTGTGAAACACTATCATAATGCTACACAATTGTCTTAAGATATTTGAATTTATTATTTCGCATAAACTACCTATTCTATATTGATTAGATCTCTTATTGAGAGATCTTTTTCTGACTCAGAGTCAGTTCCATTTTTACTACTAGTCCCACTTCGACAATTACTAAGTTTTATATGAGTTCCCATAAGATGGACTTCTTTGGCATACAATGCTGTTTCAAAAATTTTCTTTTTAAATTAATCCTGTCTAAGGACTTGTATGTGTTATCAATAATAATGTTAAAAGCACATGACATAGTATTAATAAAATAGTATAACATCAGTAAGTTTAACATGAATTGTATTTTATCTTAATTTTATCCTACTCACAATTTGGTGAAAGAGAAAGTGTTTGAGATCAAAATAATGTATTCGTAATGTAAAAACTACAAAATACAAAATATTAAGCGTGCCATAGAACTCATTTCTGTTAGTTTTGTGCCCAGTTTTCTCTATATTTTTAATTAACTTTATTTTTTTTCCGACACCATCCGACTTCATAAATAGTGTTCATGAATATGTAAAAAACTTTGTATATTATCAATAATTGTATTGATCGGACACGTAGACTTGGAGATGGGTGCCTTGAGTAGTTCTGGCATGAGGATATATCCAAGTGCGTAATATATCCAAGTGCTATATATATATGGTGGGTGGGTTAAAGTTTCTCATGCCAGAACTACTGTTGATCCAAAAATTTTTTTTTTAATTTTTAAAAATATCTATATAAGCCTATTACTCTCTTACTCTCTTTGTTTAAAATACTTAAGTGATATTCACGGTGTCGAGTTGCAAGCGCTGAAACTGAAAACATAACATGTTTAAATAGTTATATAATATAGAAAACATAGAATAGATTTCATCGCAATATCACTCGATAACTGACCTCTACGAATAAGATCGGAAATTCCTCCACTGTGTTCCTCAATTCATTTTTGTATTCCGCGCTTAACAAAATTTATGGCTTCACATTATCAGTATATACATATATATATATATTATATATAATATTTATAATGCCTCTCATATATCTTATAAGTAAATTATATATATATCCATATATATAATAAGGGGAATTACTTAGTTTAAAGAAATAAGGTGTTGTTAATAAGTTAGAGCCGATGAAGCTGAATTTTGTGCTCTTATGTTTTACAAAAATTATATTTTTATTCATTTTTCATAAATTTTCAAATTGTTTAGCTTTAAATTAATAGGATGAACGTTATTGATTATAATTTCAACCTAATAATTTCGGAGTTCTATTTTTGTGCTTATGTTTTTTTACAAAAGTTGCTATTGCACTTCTTTTCATTATTTCGTTTTACGTTATATTATATGTGAAATAGTTTTCCTTATATGTAACGTAATTAAAGATATATTTGATATAATTGATTTTATTATAAAAAGTGAAAGTTTTACCTTTACCTTTGGTAATTTGTAACTACAAAGTCGTCTTTTGAGGTTGAAGTAACTTTTTGCTCTGCATATATATTATTCCCTATTTTAACCGATTTTTTTAACTGTGATGTGGTGATGTTTTAATATTTGTTAATAATAAAATATATATTTTATTTATTTACCATACCTATCCTATGAATAATTTTTTATATCCATACTTAATATATATAAAACTTTAAAAATCTTGTAATTACTCTTATATACGCAAGTGTCTCTGGTATCTCTTCACTTCAAACCTATCATAAACTAATATTGAATTTATCATAAAAAAATATAAACTAAATATATTATATGAATAATAAAATCAATATTCTTATACATAAATAAATAGTTTAAGTTATACATCTAAATATATAAGGGAAAAAATAAACAGAAAACCTTGAGGTTTTCTTAATACTTAGTATTTGATATGTATACTATTTTTATAAAACATAATTTATCTCTAATTATTTAAACCATATCCTTATTTTACTTACCATATCATTTAGTCTTATAATAACAAAAATTGAATTATTACAAATCCGTAATAATTCATAATAGGTTTATGTTAAATAAATACATTACTTTATATAAATTAATATATAATATAATATTTAAAGATCTAGCTAATAAGTGTATAGCAAAATACATGAAATAAATTGAATGCATTATCACTATTTTGAGTACTAATATAAATATATTTCTACTTCATCGTGTAGTGCCTGGAGATCCTCAAGATGTGAAGGCAACTCCATTAAACTCCACTTCGATTCATGTGACCTGGAAACCGCCATTAGAAAAAGATCGAAATGGCATTATACGTGGCTATCATTTACATGTACAAGAAATGCGTGATGAGGTACATATAATTTATTATACATATATTATTCTTCAACTTATAACTAATATCCTTCCTTTGCTTCTTTCATAGGGAAAAGGCTTTCTAAACGAACCATTCAAATATGATGTCATCGATTCTTTAGAGTTCAATGTTACTGGCCTACAACCAGATACAAAATACTCTATACAAGTTGCAGCTCTAACACGTAAAGGAGATGGTGATCGTAGTGCTGCGGTCACTGTGAAAACACCTGGCGGTGTGCCAGTACGCCCTACTGTCAGTTTGAAAATAATGGAACGCGATCCTATAGTGTCAATTGAACTGGAATGGGAACGTCCTGCTCAAACTTATGGAGAGCTACGCGGTTATCGTCTGCGCTGGGGAGTCAAAGACCAGCCTCTCAAGGAAGAAATACTTTCTGGTCCACAAGTCAACAAAAAGCGTTTTAATGATCTTGAACGTGGTGTGGAATATGAATTTCGCGTTGCTGGCAGTAATCACATTGGTATCGGTCAAGAAACTGTAAAGAACTTCCAAACACCAGAAGGCGTACCTGGTGGTCCACCATCAAATATAACAGTACGCTTTCAGACACCTGATGTCGTGTGTGTAACTTGGGAGTCACCAATTCGTGAACATCGCAATGGCATTATAACGCGCTATGATGTACAATTCCACAAGAAAATCGATCATGGCTTAGGTTCGGAACGCAATATGACTGTTCGAAAGGCTGTGTTCACAAATTTAGAAGAAAAAACTGAATATATTTTCCGTGTGCGTGCCTATACTAAACAAGGTGCTGGTCCGTTTAGTGAGAAGTTAATTATTGAAACCGAGCGAGATATGGGTCGCGCACCTATGTCAGTACAAGCAGTTGCCACTTCCGAACAAACAGCTGAAATCTGGTGGGAACCTGTACCTTCACGTGGCAAACTTTTGGGTTATAAAATATTCTATACAATGACTGCAGTTGAAGATTTAGATGAATGGCAAACTAAAACTGTTGGTCTAACAGAATCTGCTGATTTGGTAAATTTGGAGAAATTTGCACAATATGCTGTAGCAATAGCAGCTCGCTTCAAGACTGGCCTCGGTCGCTTGAGTGAGAAGGTTACTGTTAAAATCAAGCCTGAGGATGTGCCACTCAATTTGCGTGCACATGACGTTAGCACACATTCAATGACTCTTAGCTGGTCACCACCGATAAGACTTAATCCAATTAACTATAAAATCTCCTTTGATGCCATGAAAGTATTTGTCGATTCGCAAGGCTTCTCACAGACGCAAATCGTACAGAAACGTGACATTATATTAAAGCATTACACTAAATCACATACAATCAATGAGTTAAGTCCGTTTACAACATACAATGTCAATGTGAGTGCCATACCATCTGACTATTCGTACCGACCACCTACCAAAATAACAGTAACAACACAAATGGCTGCACCACAGCCAATGGTTAAACCTGATTTTTATGGCGTTGTGAATGGCGAAGAAATTCTTGTTATATTACCACAAGCATCGGAGGAGTACGGGCCAATTTCACACTATTATCTGGTTGTAGTTCCTGAAGATAAATCAAACTTACACAAAAATCCTGATCAATTTTTAACTGATGACTTGTTGCCTGGACGCAATAAACCTGAACGCCCAAACGCACCATATATAGCAGCGAAATTTCCTCAACGTTCAATACCGTTTACATTCCATTTAGGATCTGGCGATGATTATCATAATTTTACAAATCGCAAATTGGAGCGCGATAAGAGATATCGTATTTTTGTACGTGCTGTTGTTGACACTCCTCAAAAACATTTGTACACTTCCAGTCCATTTTCCGAATTTTTGTCACTTGATATGCGCGAAGCACCACCTGGTGAGCGACCACATCGTCCCGATCCAAATTGGCCATCGGAACCTGAAGTCTCTGTTAATCGTAATAAAGATGAGCCCGGTATGTTGTGGGTTGTACTACCAGCATTGGCTGCATTAATACTCTCTGCGGCCTTTATCATAGTATATATCGTTCGACGTCGTCGTCAACCCTGTAAGACTCCCGATCAAGCCGCAGTTACGCGTCCGTTAATGGCTGCCGATTTAGGTGCAGGACCCACACCTAGTGATCCGGTTGATATGCGTCGCCTGAATTTCCAAACACCAGGTATGATTTCACATCCTCCAATACCAATATCAGAGTTCACAAACCATATTGAGCGTCTAAAAGCAAACGACAATCAGAAATTTTCGCAAGAATATGAAAGCATTGAGCCTGGCCAGCAATTTACGTGGGATAATTCCAATTATGAATATAACAAATCCAAAAATCGGTACGCAAATGTCACAGCTTATGACCACTCCCGTGTGCAGCTACCACTTATAGATGGTGTACTTGGTTCAGATTACATAAACGCCAACTATTGCGATGGCTACCGTAAGCATAATGCATATGTAGCAACACAAGGTCCTCTACAAGAAACCTTTTCCGATTTTTGGCGTATGTGCTGGGAACTAAAAACTGCTACAATTGTTATGATGACACGTCTTGAAGAACGCACTCGAATTAAATGTGATCAATATTGGCCAACACGAGGTACTGAAACGTACGGACAAATGTTTGTGACAATAACTGAAACACAAGAATTGGCGACTTATAGCATACGTACCTTCCAGCTGTGTCGACAGGGTTTTAACGAACGTCGTGAAATCAAGCAACTACAATTCACAGCTTGGCCCGATCATGGTGTACCTGATCATCCAGCACCATTCTTGCAATTCTTACGTCGTTGTCGTGCTCTAACACCACCAGATTCGGGACCTGTTGTTGTACACTGTTCAGCTGGTGTAGGTCGCACTGGTTGCTATATTGTTATCGATTCTATGTTGGAACGAATGAAGCATGAGAAAATTATTGATATTTATGGTCATGTGACTTGCCTACGTGCACAACGCAACTATATGGTACAGACTGAAGACCAATACATCTTCATACATGACGCTATACTGGAGGCAATTATTTGTGGACTAACTGAGGTACCAGCACGAAACCTACATACCCATCTGCAGAAGTTGTTAGTTACTGAACCTGGCGAAAACATAACTGGCATGGAAATTGAGTTTAAAAAATTGTCTAATGTTAAAGTTGATTCTACCAAATTTGTTACGGCTAATCTACCCTGCAACAAACATAAGAACCGTTTGGTACATATACTACCCTATGAGGCTAGCCGTGTGTACTTAACACCCATACATGGAGTAGAGGGCAGTGATTACATAAATGCAAGTTTCATAGATGGTTATCGCTATCGTTCGGCATATATAGCAGCTCAAGGCCCAGTACAAGATACCGCTGAAGATTTCTGGCGTATGTTATGGGAGCATAACTCCACAATTGTAGTCATGCTAACAAAACTCAAGGAAATGGGCAGAGTAAGTATTGATGTATGTGATGAAAGTGTGAAAGTAGAGGTTATTTATGGCAAAAGTCCTCATAAACATGCTCTATTAAAAATTTCGAATACCGAATATATAACAGATGGAAACACTTTAAATACATAGTTTCCAAATGATATTTAATACAACCTTGTGAGCTTCAAAAATGTGAACCATTTCAATTTAAATAAATATAATGCTTAAAAAGACTTATGAAGAAAACCTATACGTTCCATGGGGAACCAAATCTAAATGTATTTCCTAACTAAACTTTAAAAAATTATTTTTTATTCCTCAAAAAATCATAAGTATCTACTTGACTCCAACCAGAATGCAACAATTTTCTTTTTCTGCTCTTTCCTTAAACATTCCCCCGAAGAATGCAAAGTGATTATAAAAAATAGGACACTTTCTTAAAATAATAACCTGATTTTCTGGTTGAGTTCTCTCGTGCCACTTTATGCAAACAAATTTTCTATTTAATTTGTACATATAAATACTTATTATATATATCATACAGTGGCATCGCTAGGCGTCAGCGATGTTGGCGACCGCCGACGCACAGTGTGACAGAACACAAAATATAAAATAATTTTGGAATCTAGATAATAAAATAAGATTTCCGGACACCAAAATTCAGCTTTCTGCCTGTCATAGTTTTTAAGTAATCTTGGGACCACGGTAAATGCCCCATGTTTGGACAAAAATTTCGGGGAGTTCCAGTACGCCGATTAGGCTCAAATTAAATTTAAAAGAAAGATCATCTTAAAAACTATATTTTCGGACAATTTCATATCAATATCTCTACTGGTACCGAAAATATCGAATTTTGACCGCCTAATTTTGTGTTCTGTCACACTGTGCGACGGTCTCGCACCCTCAGGGGCCTCGCAAAAAGTTACCGACTGTGCAATTTGGTTTGATAATGGCATTAACCATATTCGAAATATTTCCGAATGTTTAACCAGGTAACCAGATTCATGTTCACAGTTGCAGTCAGTATAGCTTCGGCGAAAAAAAGCTTCTCAAATTTAAAATTGATTAAGACGTACTAGAAAAGTATGATGATCCAAAAGAGACTATCTCCATTCGAAATTCTATAAACTAAAGCGAAAATAGCTGGCGCAAATTATGAGAAACTAAGTGAAGCTAATAGTAGGAAACTTCATTTATTTTAATTTGTGTTTATTTTAATTTGATTAGCAATAAAACTTTCCATCATGCTTTGTCATATTAGCGAATGTAACTCATTTACTTTTACAACTGAATTATAAAGCGGGACTCGCAATTCTAATATCGCCTACGTCCAGAGTTAATCTAGCTCCGCCACTGATATCATATAATTCAATCTTATTGAATCTCTTACAGCTGTTAAACGCTTCTAAAACTTTATACTAAATAAAAAATAAAAATTAAAATAATATGATAAAAACTTTCATTAAAATAAATTTAACACCATCCACGAGAAGAAACCTTTTAAAGTTCTGTTAGTAAAGAGTGATTTTACGAAATTTGAAACAATCTATTTTTTTGCAATTTTTTGACAATGTACCTATGATCTTTATGTACCCGTGTATGTAAGATATATGTTTAAACCAGTAATATGCCGTAACCTCACATAACACCGCTTATGAATTCATCAATCCATCATATATAGTAAATTGTTTTTTAGCAGGCTTTATGACAGACATGCATTTTAAGTTAATAATACCGGTAGAATATTCATGAATTATATTCTTAGAATTTCTTAAATATCATACAAGGAGAGTCAGTATATGTACTGACTGCTTTTCATCACAGTAACTTCTGAAAAAGTCTTTTGTGCGACATTTTACTTATTTGCCTAATAGTCTAGACCCTTGATTATTAGCTTTTGTAATTGCAAATGCCGTCCTTAGAACTTATATGCTTGTAACAATTTTTATTAAATGGAGCCGATAATAATTTTCTGCACTAGTTATACTTTTAATCATCCACCGAGTATTGGCTGACGAAATCGAGTTTACTATATATTATTAATACTCGTAAAATTTAAATTAGCCACAGTTACATTTATTATAATTGACGTATTTTTTCTGAGTTGGGTAGTCTTTGTAAAAACATAAACAAACATCTGAGTCTGAGTAGATTTTAACTTTTGTTTAGATCACTACTCTGATTCAACTTTTTCTCTACTATTAGTTAGAAAGCCACAAAGCTGTTGGGAGTGTTAAAGCTGTTGGGAGTGTGTTCAGTAAAAATGTATCGTCTTATTTGTCATCTTTTATATGACTTCTACGTATTTTTTGGTTCATTAAAAGTCTTTTCAAATTTTTACTAAATTGTTGTCTAACATTTTTTAAAAACAACTTCTTTTAATAGGAAAAATGCTTTCAATACTGGCCTCATGAGCGTTCTGTACGTTATCAGTATTACGTTGTAGACCCAATAGCAGAATACAATATGCCACAATATAAGCTGCGTGAATTCAAGGTAAGTTTTACTCTCTGGTTCAAATGAGATTAAAAACAAATTTATTTTATCCTAGGTTACCGATGCACGTGATGGTTCATCGCGCACAGTACGTCAATTCCAATTCATCGATTGGCCGGAGCAAGGTGTACCTAAATCTGGCGAAGGCTTCATTGATTTTATTGGACAAGTACATAAAACCAAAGAACAATTCGGACAGGATGGCCCGATAACAGTGCACTGCAGTGCTGGCGTTGGACGTACTGGTGTATTCATAACACTTAGCATTGTGCTAGAGCGCATGCAATATGAAGGCGTTTTGGATGTATTCCAAACTGTGCGCATTTTACGCGCACAACGTCCTGCCATGGTACAAACAGAGGTAAGCATTTGTAGTATATATATCTATATAAAACTTTTTTATAACAATTTTTTTTACTCTCCCGAAAAGGATCAATACCATTTCTGTTATCGCGCTGCTTTGGAGTATTTGGGCTCATTCGATAATTACACAAACTAAAAACAAAAGGAGCTACGTTGAAAACGAAACAGTGTGCAAATATTTATACTAAAACTGTAAACTGCTTATCTAAATTGAGTACCGCAACTCAAACTCAAACTAATTTTGAGCTTCAAATTGTATTTCATTTCCCCCTACGTTATTGGCATTGGCCAGTAAACTTCAGGTATTGCAGTAACAAAACCGAAAATGCATAAAGTCAATTTTTAGTTTTAATTAAAAAATTTTGTAAATTTGCCTACTGCAGCTTTTGTTGCCGCAAACTTAGTCAAAGCCTCAACAGCTGCTAAAAATATCATTAAATTTAAGTAAACTTAATTCGCATTAATTTTATTTAATTTTAATTAATTTTACTGCCGTTTTAAGATAAAATTGGGGCATTATTGTATATTGCATTAAAAGACAAATTTTAAAGCTCCCAAATGTTATTATATAGTAAGTCTCCACAAGTTTTTTACGTAAATATTAATTAATTGTAATTTTTTTATATTTATATTGTAAGTATATTAAAGTAAGTTGAATGCTCTGATTTATGAATATATATAAATATATATACATATATCTATATATATAAGAGTAAAATCATTTTATATTATTAAAAACACCCCCGTCTCCTACCATTTTTATCTAATCAACCAATATTACCCTAATGATAAGTTAAAAATATTGTAGGTTTTGTTGTTGTTCGTAGCGTCTTTTAAGTTTTATGTGAACTAAAGAGACTGTTATGCATTAAATTTATATTTAAAAGCAAGTAATAAAATTATTAATCATTAATATTAATATTAACATTAATTTAGGATTGATTAAAATTTAATTAAAAAATTTTTAATTAATTAAAAACGCTGTTATTTAACCAAATAGACTAAGAGAAAATGCAGTAAAATAATTTAAAAAAACAATCAAAAGAATAATTAGTTCTAATTAATTTTAATTAAACTACCACGAAAACATTTTTAAATTTAAGTAGAGAAATTTATAATTTTTTTTTCACTTTCTTTATGATTTCTTTTAATTTTTTATTTAAAAATAATTATTTCCCAAAAATTGAAAAACAAATATTTAATAAAATCTTTGTGTAGAAAAATATTGTGATCTAAGGTTCAATGTGCCCGTTATTTTCTAATTTTTTTTTGTTGTATAAAAACAGATTTTTAGTATTTCATGCAATATTTTCTATACTTTATTTCTTGAAACTGTTCTTTACGTGATATATTAATTTAATTATGGTAACATACATAGTACATATAATGTAATAATAACAATATTGTATATGTGGATTATTGGAATATATTTTATTATTATTCTTGGGTTATTATTAAACGCACAAATTAGCTCTCAATCTTATTAGTTATAAACGCATGCCAAGACACGCTTAGTGTCTTGCAGTACATTTATACTCCTATACTTCATGTACATTATAGGTACATACTAAATACTCACTGCAGTATTTGATATGAATCATCTTTCTAAATCTAATCTTTTTTAGAGATATAAATCACATCAAGTATAGTTACATATACTAATCTCGATCGCTCGTTTTCTATGCTATGCCTCGGCTGGAGCGTCAGAATGCCAAAATATCCCTGTATTCCAATTACATATATGGTTGTTATAATAATTATGATGACGACCCGTTTTATTGCAATGCGTCTTTGCTCTATTTCCTAATTAATTTTAGATTTTTTTGATGATTTTCAAAAGCTTTTGCTTTTACAATTAAAGTCAGGAATATTATGATTTTTTATTTCATCAAAATTTATTATAACACTATAATGGTATAATAGTATAATATAATAGTATACATTTTTTTGCGTTTAAAAATAATCTTTCGCTGCAATAATTTCTAAAAGTTTTTTTTACTTGCTGAAAGAGTCCCCATCCTTCTGACTGTTATTAAAAATCCTTCAGCTTAATGTGAATTTAATTGTGGACCAATTTAAATTTTTCAAAACAGCAAATTGGAATGAATTCTGTTAGCTTGATTACTAAATTATAAATCTGACTAAAAACGAAATATTTATAAATTATGAGGCCTTGATTCTTTAAGTGGGAGAGCTTATAGCCCGGCTACGTCTATGGCCATAGAAGATCTATTTCATTCAACTACACAATACTCTAGAATAGAGAAAAAGAGCTCCAAAAAATTAATAGAAAAATTAAAAGAAATTTATTTATTATTTTTTTATTAAACTAATCATTTATTACGAAATATTTGTGAAGCCAGTTATATTTCATATAATTTACATTTCATACAATTTTTTTTAAATTGTATAAATATTATTGTAGAGCTTTTATTATTATATTGTATAAATACATTACTTACTCGTATTTTATTTTAATTTTTCAAACTAATATAATGATAAAATTTATTTTCAATACAATGTAATCCTATTTATTAACTTATAGTAGATTAATTAAAAATATCATTTTAATGCACATTGGCTGGTGTCACATTATTATATTATGTTAAATTTCTAAAACTTTATTAATGCTAATTATATTCCTTTTAAATACTTATTTATGTTGAAGCTATTTGAGGCAGTGCACTTGAGCACTTTTACTCTTTCTTATCTCGAGGTATTTTCAACACTCCTCTTTATGCCTTGACTGGATTGATGTTTATCACTTCATCAGACTAAGCATAATTGACCTCAGATCTGCATGCAAATAATTTCAGTGCTCTATCCTTTATGTATCTTTAGATGGGATCAATCTTGAGGTCTCTGATGATGTCAATCGTCCTAATGTACCATGGTACTTTGAAAAGCCTTTTCAGAGCCTGGTTTATAATCCTTAACATATTTAGGCTATAGAACAAATGTAAATACAAACAGAAATGATCTTATATAATTATTATCTTTGTTATGACTACTGAATGTAGTATAAGCATTATTTTAAAATTGAAAAATCAAAAAATTTAATTCAAAAATACAGCCATTTTACAAATTTGACAAGTTCTACTGATTAATATTATTTTTAAAGAAAATTTTCGTTCTGTATTGCTTGTAAACCTTGTTAAATGTTAATTAAGTAAAAAAAATTCCTTTAATTAACGTAAAAAAAAATAACAATTAAATGATATTTAACATAAATTTTTTTGTTCCATAGCCTAAATATACAACACAAAAACAATAACATTTTTAATGTTTTATTATTAATTTTTTATTTTATTAATATAATAAAATTATAAACATTTATGTTTGCCTAATTCACAAATTTTTCAAATAATTGTGTTGTTATATTATTTTAATATTTATTACTATTTATTTAATTATTTTGAAGTTTTTATTTTTTATTGTATTATTCCAATTAGTATATTTTATTATACATGAATTTAAAACATCTTTAAATCACTGCAGTGAAGAAATACATTTAAAAAAAATTAATAAATCTAATATTATAAATTTTTATTTTGACTAATTCCCATACGAATTCAAAAGGAATTTAAAAATATCATCCATTTTCGACTTAGGCAGCTCCTTAACACAATCAGTATGATATAAAAGTATGAAAATAAAAGTCAATATTTAAACAACAATAGCAAAAATAAAAAATAAATCAATTTCAAATAGAAAATAAAATAACGATAGAGAAAATACAAGAAGAAACATAAAATATCATATATAATATAAGAATTTAAACACAGAACCAAAATAAAATTGAAAGGAACCAGAAAAAGTGGAAAAATATAAAAAATGTAAACTGTAAAAGAGTTCATAAAGGAACTAAAGCGAACAATAAAAGAAATTGAGTAATATAAAAAAAATATAAAAGAATTTAAAAAATTTAAAAGAACAATAAAATTTTAAAAATAACAGCTTATAAGAAGTTGAAATGATAAAAAGTTAAGTAATAGCGATAAGCAAAAATAAATGAAAAAGGTGTATGGAAAAAACAATAAAAAAACCAATAGTAAAAAAGTTAAAAACTTAAAAGAAACAGTAAAACATGTTAAAAAATAAAAATAAGTAGTAAAAAAAGTATATAATATATATAAAAAAAACTTTAGCAATTAAATAATAGATATATAAAAATGTAAAAGAATATCTATGCGTATATCTGAACATAACATTAATTAAATAAAACTAAGTCATACATATATGATTATTGTAAACAAAAACAAAAACCCAAACATATGATTTGAGTAAAAATATTGTAGAGAATATATATATATATAAATATATATATATAAATAGTATATAATATAAGTTAACTTAAAAAGCAAACAAACAAAATGAAATTAAATCATTATTAAATATATTAAAATTAAATTATTGTTGAAAAATAGTAATATATATGTAAGTAATAGCAACAAATTTTAGGAAAAATGCATAAGTAAATAAATATATTGTATAGAATAAAACTAAGATAAGTAAAGTTAAAAAATAATAAAAATAATTGTATTAGGTTTTTAAAAAAAATAAGTAAATAAAAGAAATAATAATATAAAAGTTAATTTAAAAAATAAAAACAATTACTATAAAAGTAAAGAAGAAAAAAACACAATGAAAAATAAAATATATATTAAATTATATGGATTTAAAAAATTAAATTAATGACTTATTACTTTTTTATTTATATATAAATATTAACTTAAATAGCAAAACAAATTTTAATTACTTTAATGCAGAAGCAATATTTATTTATTTCTATTATATACACTAAAAAAAATTATTAAAATTTTATTTGAATTTATAAGCAATAATCAACTTTCGCATATCGTTTTGTGACTAAAATGAAAATAAATTTAAATTTTAGTTTCAATTGTAATGAATATATTGATGATATATTGATTTCAATTGATATATTAATAGAATGATCCAATATATCAATTTATGTATTGATATATTATTATAGTTTAATAATACTTCTTTGTTTATTTTTTTTATATTTTGATGTATTAATTTCATTAATATTATTTATATAAATCTTCTTTTACAATATTTTAAGCCAGAATGGAAATAATTAATATATTTTACTTAATTTAATTTAAATGAATATACTTTGGCCAAATCAATACTGTATATTATTTACTTATAGGCATAATTTACATATAAATATATTATATTCTTAATTTAACTTCTTTTCGATGCATTGCATTTGCATTTCAAATATCTGGGCAGCTGCATTTATATATATCTTATATATACATCTTATATATATATCTTATTTATAACTCGAAACATGGCAACTTATTTATATACACATTTTTAATTTAATATTTAAAATTTTAATATCAATTTTAATTATTTCATCAGTCAATATCAAATTTTGTTTTTTTGATATTTTAATCTTTACTTAATTAATTGAATTTTTATAAATTTAAATATTACAACTTTTTTTTGTGTGTTTTATAATTTAAATAATAATTTTATTGTGTACAAAAGCATTTTCAATTTTTAATAAAATACA